CTGCTACAGTATTTGCCTAGCCAGACCAGAGGTCGCCAGCCTGTTGCTATGAAAAGCATACCTTTGGATCTTTATTATTATTAGATCATGGTCAGGAATATTATTTAAGACAACTGAAGGGAACACTTGATAAACATTTCCCCCATTATGCCCATGTGCTTCTCTTCCTTCCCATTTGGCTACTTGCAAATGTTGGAAATATGATTCCTAATCACACCACTAGACAAGGTCCTCTAGGTCAGGCCCTGTGGCCATCCTGCACCATGGTCTCATGTCAGAAGCTGGTGATCCTGCCTCTGGAGACACGGTGTGGAAGGAAATGGGGTGTGGGAGACGTAGAGGGTGGGGAGCAAAGGAAAGGCCTGTGTTCAGCAGGTCTCAGAACTGATGTTATTACTCACATGTGTTGGGAAGCGTTGGGGTACAGTTTTGAAAACTGTGGGGCTGAGTCTTCAGGGCCATGGGGCGCAGCGTGGCTGATCACCATCATAATGGGCCTATGGGGATACATTCTCTTAGACATTTTGAAGTAATTAATGCTCTCGTTAGTGATTAAGTCTGTGAAGTAGTCCTGAAACATACATTTGACACAAAACAAAAATTACAAAAGGTGACATTCATCAGATCACATTTGAATACTGCTTTCTTCAGAAGCATCTCACTGAATGAAGAGATGAGGTCTAAAGCAGCAAGGAAAATGATTCCCGAAGCAGCACATCTTCCATAACAGAGAAAATCAGTTGCCAGTTACTTTCTAGGGTTGCTAGGTTGGTAACATGCACAAATTGTATTTTAAGTAAAGCACAACTTAACAATTAGGAGAGAAAAAAGTCAAGTCCTGTTTGTCCAAGATAATGATCAGATCTGGCAATCCAAATGCTTAGAGCACATGAAACACCGGATACGTATTTCATTCTCAGGTTTCATTGATGTAATTCGTTGACAAAAAATTTAATTACTTCAAGGGCAGGAAACACCCACACCCACTACAAATTCACAGTTGCAGAACACACCCACCCACCCACCCACACACACACACACACAAAGCCACATGCACAAACAAAAGCAAAGGTCTTTTCTTTAAATTAAAAATTCACCTATAGGGATTACACAGTAATTGCTAATGAAAGCCATAGCCAAAATCTGGGTGCACAGGGAAAAGCTGCAATATTTTAGCAATTAATTTACTTGAAACACTAAATATGGGGAGCATTTGATTTCCTGCAGATTATAATGTTAATTGCACAACTAAAATGATACAGCTGCTGGCATTTGGGCCTGACTTGTTAATAAAATGACTTAAGCCACAGTCTGAGGGACTGATGCAACTCTGTAAGGGAGAAGGAAGGAATGGAATGAAGAAGAACGATGAAAACTTAAATTAAACCACCTGCTTCCTCCAAGTGAGCATCGTTGGCCTGGAGCTCCAGTACAAACTTTATTCAGAAAGTGCCCAGACAACGTTCACCATGGTGGAGGCTTCCAGGCATGACTAATCACATGTAGATTCAAGGGCTAGAATAGCCGCCAAAGCAGTGCCCAAGGGAGGAAATCTGTGTCACATGTCATTGTTAGGACAAGTCCACAGGCTATCACTTTCCTCCATGGGAGTGTCTGATTCATTCCTTTTCTCACTAAAAAACCTCCACATATTCTTTTCGGACACAGTTGTCTTTGACACTTAATCAGCTGTGATAATGGGCAAGTTACGCTAATTTAGTCTTTGGAGGGAATCTTGATTACTTTGCTCTCCTTAGGACAACAGGGAAAGAAAGGTTAATAGCTTGAACAAGGAGCATGAAAGCATCCCCACAGATAAAAAATGATAGCAGTGACAATTAGTGCACTTTGTAGGACATTGCTCAAATCTGCCTCCAAGGTCCCTGCCAGCTCTCAACTTTGATGAGTCTGGAATCCTATTAGCAATGTTTGTGAATTCATTTGCATTCATTGTTTTCTGAGGGATAGCAAAGAGCAAGGCTTACACCTCATCTCCAACCTTGAGCTCAAATCGGGCCAAGCGTAAAGGCAGCACTGTGCCAAAATTAAATCAAGTTCCCTCTTTCTGATTTCTACCAATGGCTCTTTCGTAGTAGGATCTATGCTAGATAGAGCAGATTGTCAGCTTCTTTTAGATAAGTGAGGAAGACACAGGCATGGCTAGAAGAAGAGAAGAGGATATTTTAGGCTAACGAGCAAGCTACATTCAAACATATTTTCCTCTTCACTCTTGTCATCTGAAAATCGTTTCGTTTTAAGTTGGCAATCATAAAACCTTTGTGAATTTTAAAAAGTCTAATCTAGGGTCTATTTATTAGAGAGCCGAGGGACGTGTCGATTTCAGAGTCCATGAAATGGACTGACTTGGAAATCCTAGGACTGGGAGCCTCAGAGACTTTTGTGGACTCACACCGCTGGGAGGCAGCTGCGTCGTTGTCACATATCAAAGCCTGGTCCACCGGGAGTAAGAGCAAGAACTGTGGTTTCTCGACCTTCCATTATTGTGCTTGTCTGCTCTTACTCTTACATCTAAACATGAAGCCACGGACAAAATATACTTTTACCCCAGTGAAAAGCAAAATGGTACAAGATGAACATATGAGTATGTGGACCAATCCTCTGGAGAGTAGAGAAAGAAAAAATTATCACAAGACAGAGTGAAGACATCGCTGATTTTCCTGATGATACTTTCATCAAAGGCTGATTGCCTTTCATCCTAATGAGGGGAAAAAATTCACTAGTCAAAGTCAGTGTGTCTTGAAAATCTTTTTCTTGCCTGGAGTTTAAAATTACCTTAAAATTTCTCATTCTAACATTGTGAGAACATAGAAAGCCAATCTTGTGTATAACTTAACTCACTGAAAATGGCTTTTCCCCATCATGCACAAAGTAAATTGATGCAGTGTGAAAGTGCCTAAAAATTACCTTTGCATAATCAAATCCATGCTTTTCTTTGATGCCATTGCGACAAACAGTGTAATTATAGAAACGAGAATTCTTGATTAATCCAAGCCATTCTCGCCACCCAGGAGGGATGTAGCTGCCATTATATTCATTGAGGTATTTTCCAAAAAAGGCTGCAATAAGAAAAAACAGGATTGTTTTCTCATATGAAATGATTAATCACAAATAAATGGATAAATGCATAAGTATGAAATTATGACTTGAAAAAGAGGCAGTAAAACAAAAGATGACCCAGGTAACAGTGGATGTCAAAACAATAGCGTAATACTCTTGATTTTTTGGCAAAGTGACACACGTGCATTTTCCTTTTGAATAAATAAACAGCACCCAAGTACATGGATTATCGTTCAACAAAATTACCATAATGATCACGATACTCTGGGTGCATCTATTTCTTGTGCTTTTGCTGGGATAAAGCAAAATTACCCTTTTGTTAAGTTGATGTAACAGTCGGAGAAGTAGCCAATAGAAATCTAGAATGTTACCTCTGGGCAAATATTGGAAGACTGAAAGTTCAGTCTTTGATAAAATAAGTTTCCTAATTCACTATTTGAGAGTTATAAATGATAAAAACACTATAGCAAAGCTGGTCTTTGTTTTCACATATCCAAATATCCAAATCAAGGAACCATGGTAAACTCCATTTCTATGGCACATGGTAAGGGTTTTTATGTCACATGCTTTTTATGGTATCAATGTTTACATTATGTGTATTTCATGAATTCATAGGTCTATTATTGATAATTAAAAATCTTGGTAACATAGAATTACTACACAGATGGCTAATTTTCATAGAATTATAGTGCAACAGAAGTACATGGACCACAAACATGCCACTGATCATTGAAGCGGGCACTGGGGGGACTTCACATTTGTAACCCTGGCATGTCACACATCTAAGAAAGGCCATTGTGCAGCAGGGCTTACTGATCCATTCAGAGGAAAACTATGAATTTGGTCCTCTGCCACAGACGATGATAAGAGAGGGGCAAAGGGGAGAGAAAGCAAGTTGTTTGGGAACAAAGTGGGTTAGATTTTTGAAGTCCAATACCTTGTAACTATTAGAAGGGTCCTAAAAATGTATGGCTAGCACACTTTTGAGAAAGAGGGTACTATTTCTTTTCCCTTTCTTTCTTTCTCCCTGTCTCCCTCACCCCCCCCCCCTTTCTTATGTTCACTTACTTTAATCACACTACTTTTACCATGTTATCACCATGGAATGTGAATTCAGGTTACACAAGAAAGCTTCACACGTGCAGTAAAGCAATCTGGAATATACCAAAGTTTGTGTATAATGCCTGACCAAATCGCCTTGCTGATAAATAAGTAATCACTTCAATTATAGGTAATTCGTTAGCATTTATGATTCTTACAGAGAAAATAAACAAACTGAATACATTTAAAAAGTGTTTTTCGTTAACTTTGCATTAGTACTTAAAATACACATTTCTATTCCAAGATGATATTTAAAAATTACTCTAATACAACAGCAGCATAACTGTAATTCTGCAATTACAAAAAAAAGTTAAACTAGGTTCCATAGTTGTTATCCTCATGTTTACATGTATGATTCTGAAAGAAATGCTATTTCTAAGCAGCTGCTATCAGCTTTCTAGGTTTGGTTTGAACTCGCACACATTTTCATTTGTAGAGAAGCTTATAATGTGATATTCCACACACTGTTCTGAAAAGGCTCTTTAAGAGTCAACCAGCCCTAAAAACTGAAGTAGTCAATCAGTCTGCAAGACAAAGAGGGTATTATTTCCAATAGTTGTAATTTCACCGGAGACATGGGTATACACAAGCACTATTCTGGGTAACCTAGATGTTTGGTCACCCTATTCGCTTACAGGCATAGATAGCCTTCCCTTTAAGGACGAAGGACTAGAGAGATTTTTATACATGTATACATAGGTGTGTGCATGTGTGTTGCACACACGTACACTTGTACCTATATGTATATGCACATGTAATACACACATGCATGCAAGTTTTAATTTTTCTGATTGTTAAAAGGCTGCAATCTTTCGTTTTAGGGTGAAACAATGGCTAGCCAGATGCCTTCCATGTCAAAGCCACTTTCTAGCTTCATCAAGCAGGGTCTCCCAGGTGCCTCTGCTTACGTACATGAAGAAAGATAGCTTCTGGATGACTGGCTTGAGAAGATGAAAATGGATCCCAGGATCAGACGCTTTACTGGTATTGCTCTTAAAGCATGCATTTCTGAATCTTGAACTGGTCCACAGTACATCATTTCTGTATCTTTATGGGCTAGCTAGTTTGCATTCATCTTTGATCTACAGCCACCTATAGGATAGCTCTATCTGAGTGTTTTATTGGCGCCTAATACAATTGGTCAGAATGGAATTAATCCTTTTCCCTTAGGAAATAACTTCTCTCTTCAGATTCCTTTTATTCTTTGAGTGTCATAATCATCTTCCTGGTTAACCAAGCGTGGCACAGAGTGAAACGGCTTTCGAACCTGCCCCACCCTTGATTACTTGACGCTCCTCACGGATGCTTACAGGCTACTGCCAGCTCTCTTAGCCAGGCTCCAGGCTCTTTCCACTCCTAGTGCCACCTTCCTGAAGACTGGCTTTGGTCACATCACCCTGTTCTCACAATTGTGGATGGACTGCCCCCTTCACCTGCACAATCAGGTTTCATTTGGTAGCTTGCCATTCAAGGCTGCCTTGGATCTGAACAAAATCCCTCTCCAGCTCCATCCTGCATTTCTTTTTGACCCTGTCTCCAGAGAATGCGTTTTCTCCATTTGCTCTGGTTTTCACCTCTCTGCTTTTGTCTGTGCTAGTTCCCTCATCTCCTCACTGTTTACCAAGACAAGGTGCCATTTCAATCTCAGTCTTTGCCCAGTTCCACAGCGATTTAGTTCTGCTGCTCTAGTGCCATTTTCTCTTTCTTTCCCGTGCTATAGTCATGTTTGTATGGGAGCTAATCCCTCTAAGACCATAAGGGTTCTGAGTGCAAACACTGCCTTTGCCTCATCTCTGTACCCCCCTGCTTGCTGTCCTTGCACACAGTATAGGAGCGCCATCATTTTTGTTTCTTGCACTGGTGTTCATGGGGCTCTATGTACTTTGGGGATTCTGTAAATTCTAGACTTATGTTTTCACTTGAATTATAAGTGGCTGAAGTTGATATTTCTGATTGGATTTATTTTCTTTGAAGAGTTGACTCACGTCTGAGAAATGGGGGCAAGACAAAATGTCAGAGGGTCTCACGTCAGCTATGACTCAGGATTTCCCTCTGAGCTGAGTGTATGCAGTAGGAATTCTAATGAGGAGTTCCTGTCTTTAGAGTCTAACCACCTTTTCACCTAAACTACAAGATGATTTTCCTTTCTGACAAAAGGCAACGTGACTTCGAGTCAGAGGCAGTGGACCAGGGCCACACCCCACCAACATTACTTCACAAGGGGACTATTTCCGGGAACCTTCTACTTCATAACCTTGGGCCTAGCTCTTTTCTCTGGGCTGCTCCTCATCCCCAGGGATTTCCCCCCCACTTTTCTCTCCTTCTGTCTTAAAGGAGGTAAAAGGGTACAGTGGTATGGAATATAAACCTTGGAGCCAGCCTGCCTCGGTTCAAATCCTGGTGGTGCTGTTCGGTAGCTAGCCTCAGGCAAGTCACTTAGCCTCTCTTTACGTCCAGTTTTCCATCCGGAAAACCGTGAGGATGCAAGTAAGAACAGTGGCAGGACTGTTGTGAGAATCAAATGAATTAAAACATACGTAAGGCGCTTAGAACAGTGCCTGGCACATAACAAGGGCTTATTAAATGCTGCTGCTGCTGCTGCTGCTGGTTTTATTATTAGCAGCGCCATTATCATGCTCCCAACTCTCTGTCCTGGTTTCAAATAATGTCCCATTCGGCAGTTCAAGGCCATCTTGTTGGAGTTCTGCGCTTGTGCATTTGGAAACCTTTCTTGAGAGGTTACATATTTTTCTTCCCCATTCGGCCTTATTTTGCGGCAACAAATTCCTATTTGGCTTACATTTTCCTGCTTAATTAGCTTTTAGATTTTTTTCCCCCTGCTACGTTGAGTTTTGCTCTCTTGTTTTTTCCTCTCAGGGCAGCCATGACGGGTCATTCCTTCCCTTCCCTCGTTGTTTTACTTGTTCGGTTATTCAGTGCTGTGTTTTCTACCCATTGCCATGGCTATCGCCCCTCCCTTAATCCTCCCCTTATAAACGATTCCTTCAAGTCTCTTAACAGTTCTTGTTACTCGCTTCAGAACTCCCTCCAGGTTTTCGGTGTCTCTGTGCTAATGGAGTGTAAAAAATGTACTCAGGATTCCAGATGTGCCCTCACCCAGCACACTTGTTCCGAGAGAGACCAGGACCTCATGCATCACGATGCGGCACCCCGGTGCTGTTGGCTTCAAGTTACTCTGGCCTTTCTTGTTGCCTCATAACATTGAGACTCATTTGTAATCACCCCTGGCCTCTTTCAACATTATGCTTCCTGGCAGCGCTCTGCAATTGATTATCTGGGCTTCTAATTATTTTCCTCCAGATGTATTAAATCTTGTTCTCCCTCCCTAAGGTGAATTTCATTTTCTTGCCCATATTGCCATTATATTATGTGTAGTTTGAAGTTTTTCTTATCCCTCGGCATTGGCAATTCACGTCAACTTACTACTATCAGAATATATCACTAACACACCATCTACCCGTCCTTCTATATCATTCTCTTTTCTGAGACATCATTAAGCACTTCCCTTTACAGCTGTTTAAGAAGGTGGAGGGTGGGGATGGGGGCCGGGTGACAGGCAGAAAGATCAGAAAGGCTTGATTATAATTATGGTTGACTTTAGGCCATGCTACTTCTGCCCAGGACTATCTGTTACATAATACTTTAAAATTTTTCCCTCAACTCTTTGAAGCAAAGGCATTTAAGTCAGCAGGAGAAATTATAGAAAAGAGTTCTGATGCTGTGGAGAAGTTAAATCTTATTTAACATAACTAATGGTACACTAATTGAGTTTTTACTGTATGTAATTGATAAACTTGGGGTCACAGGATTTTACTGGTAGTTAACTAACAATATATATAATTTTGAACCAAGTTAAAATTATAATTTAATTCCACAAGTAGATTGTAAGTCTAATGAAGACAAGGATCTTACTTTATATCTTTTCAAGACAAGGATCTTACTTTATATCTTTTCATATCCCAGCATTTAGTATGAGTCTAAGCATATGTAGTTCAATAAATGTATGCTATACCTCATGTTACTATGAAAATCTGTAATACTATAACTCATTAAAATAAAAATATTAGTGTGTGGAGGATAAATAAATAAATAATTTTGCTGTAACATAAGCTTTGTAAAATAAAAAAATATGAAATCAGAAGAATTGATTAATTGGTCTAAATTATTTTGTTATAAAAGAATTCTTTACAAAGAGATTTCCTGCAGATCAGCATTAAATATTGCCCCTTTCACCCAAGTAATATGAAGTTAAATGACTATGACTAAAATTTAATTCACATGTGATTTTATGTATCATGTGTTATGATTGTAATGTGAGCACTATAATTTTTAAGTGAATCAATATAAAAATTACAGGGTTTATAATAAAATTATAATTTAATTTTGTCAGGAAAGAAGACCTAGGAATCATTCTGGTTTGATGTCTGCATTGCATATACAAGTTGGAAAACTAGAGTATGCAAGTTCTCCGAACATATTAAAGGCAGAGGAGGGACGTGGCTCCAACTCCCCTCAGCCTCAGGGTTTTTTTTCCTGATACGTGATGCTATCTCTCAAACGTGGATTGTTACTTTCACCTTAAAACCAATGCCAGGTTTTGTATTCATGTCTATACTCTCACAAGAAATTTACACTACATTTTTTTTTTTTAGCAAATAGGCAGGATATTCATTTCTATGATAGATAATCCAATATCATTCCCACTTCACTTGTCAGAACATAAAATGCAACAGACATGTTGCTGTATTTTCCCCTTTTGAGCATTAAAGCTGTTGGAGAGTCATATTTTCCATGAGTAAAGTTAGAAAAATTTAGGCTATAGCCAGTCCAAAAATATGCCTCAGTTCTGAAAAAGAAAAAAATCATGTCAGACAATAGTAAATATAATATTGGATCAATTCAATTCATTTAAATCCACATATTCTGGATGTATCCCAAAATAAGCCTCTTAGTAATTTGTCTTCCCTGAGTTGTTCTCCATAAAACTGATTACTGTGCTGTGCTTTTCTCTAGATGAATATTTATGTCTGATACATATTTTGGTTTCTTGCATTATTTTTCTTAGGTTCTCAGCTAAACGTTCCAAATAATATAGTCATTATTAGAAAAACAATAAAATCTTTATATATTGGCATTCTTCCTCTAGGTTAGTGGCTTATAAATAATTATGTTGGTTTAATACCTATTTACCAATTCTCTTAATTTCCTAAGATGCCTGTCATCCTGATATGCTTATTTGTGTATTTTCAAATGGGTCTCTGTCTCTGGCTAGATCAATAAACTGTTGTCACAAAGACATCTCTGCTTCCTTATTGTCTGAGACACTTCAATATCTTCCCCATCAAGGATAAATTTAAATTGTAAATTGTATAGATCTTTATCACTGCCATTTTAGTCTTCCAATTTGTATTTTTCCTGATTCACTAATGGGCACAACACAACAAAATTTATTATGTGTGTATCATCCTTTTTCAGTTTATTAACTATTTGGAAAAGTCCTTGTTTCCTTTAAAGAATTCCTTTCCCTCTGTTAGGATGACTCACTATAAATTCAATTATTACCTAAGTATCCAGACTCCTCGGCAGAAGGTTGGCCTCAGAATCAGACTCAGTTTTCAGGTGTCCAGGCCGGTGGGCTGCACAAAAGGCCTGACAGTTGTCATCGGGGCAGACTTACAGTGTACAGTGTCATTCTAGACCTAACCTGTACATTTAGAGTAAGACACTGGAAAGAACCTGAAGACCAAGTTCCTGACGCCCGTTCTTCCCATTATAATATTTTCCCCATGTGCCACTTCGATCTTGTTGGTGTAAATTTGCTCACCTGAAAATAAGGTAATTGAACTAAATTATCTCTGTGTTATTCAAGCTCTTGTAATCCATTGTAGGGTAGATATAACATAGTATAAGTGAAACAAGGCCCAGAATATACTGTGCTTCTTACAGGCAACTGATTTGTTTCTATCTTGGTGACCCAGTAAACTTCGTAATGGATGGCATTTCAATATTTGTGTTTGTCATCGGGAAGCTTAGTTCCAAATATGCACCTTTTCACCATATCTCCGTGACATGCACTTTGTATACCAAGTTTTGCCTTGACTTTAACTGGTACAACCCTTCATTTCCATTTTCCAGTGTTCTTATTGTTCGGTATCCTGTTATGTTTTATGTGTCTCTGTGGGCACTGTGGAATGAGGCATGACAGAAACATCAAGAGAAGAAAATGATCGAAAAAGGAACGACTTTGGAGTCAGGTGTGCTAGATTCACCCTATCACTGGCAAGGCAAACCTGTGACCTTAGACAACTCTCCTGAGTCTCTGTTTCTTCACTGGCAACACAGATAAATCCTGTGAGAAGGCCAGAAGAATTAAGTGAGGCAATTTAGCTAATTGACACAACTTATGTGTCTGTGCACATAAGTAAGCAACACATATTAATTTCCTTCTTTTCTCCCTTTCTTTCTTCTTCCTAGTTTTACTGATGTATAATTGACAATCAAAAATTGTAATATATTTAAGGTATACAACCTGATGGCATGAAATACATAAACATTGTGAAATATTCACCACCGCCAAGCCACTCAACATATCCATCGCCTCACACCTCTACTATTTTCCTTCTGTGGTAACACAGCAAAGGTCTATCCTCATAGCTAGTTTCAAGTGCACAATACAATATTGTCGACTAGGGTTACATAGCTGTACAGTTTCTTCAGAACTCATTCATCTTCTACTTACATTTTCTTGATTTGCCCTGAAACAGATTAGCAAACCCTGGTTGACCACTCTCAGTCTTGGTAGAGTTCTCTGTGTCACTCTGCCTCTTTATTTCTTATGACAGGCATCGTCCATATCACTCTGGTTATGGTGAGAGTCCTGACCCTTCAAGCTACTAGGGATTAAATTATAGGGAGCCTGGGAGTTGAAAGGCATTGATTTCACATGATGCTTCTCATGAACAAAACAAGATTTGGTGGTAAAAATCAGGAACTAGGCATCAGGGGACCATTTCTGGTTTTGCTTCAGAGCTGGTCATACAGTATTTGAAATCCCTACCTCAGTTATAAAACAGAGTCAAGTACATTTGCTGTCTGTAAACCCTACAGGGATGTTTGATGGATTTGCAAATTGCCTTAGAGCTCTCAGATGAAAGGTGCCATAAATTTAAATCACTTATGTGAGAAAACACACTTAGGATAAGGCACTCTCAGTAACCTAGTTTCTTTCCTAAGTATAAGCAAACACCCTTGAGAGTCACGGGAGGAGCTTTCTCTCTGAATGGAGATCTTGAGATGCTTGTGAATGACAATGCTATCATAGTCAAAATCAATATTTTTATCCATAAATAACAAGTATTAAGAGTGCACAGGATGCTCTGCAAAGAAACAAATGGCCTCATATCTTCCAAGTCCAGCAGGAAAGATTAATTTCATGTTTTAAAAATATTTAATAATTTAATATTTATCTGAAATCCTTTACTTTTAAATCTTCAGAATTAGAGAAACTGTAGACCTGCAAATCATTTCCAACTAACTTGAATGATGACGTCTTTAATTCTTCTAGGACTTGGTGGCTCTGAAAAAAACCGTTTGTGTACTGCAGCTCTTCAATAAACACCCTTGTTGCCTGTCATGACGAAATGTTCAGAAAAACCCTAAGAGAGAATCGGAATGCTGGGAGAATAAAGGCTTTGGGGGTGAACCCTACCAGAGGGGCTTTGCTTCTTTCTTAGACTGACATGACATTTATGATTTCTCTCTTTTTAAAAATTTTTTAATATTTATTTATTTCAGAGAGAGAGATAGAACACAAGTGGGACAGGGGCAGAGACAGAGGGAGACACAGAATCCAAAGCAGGCATCAGCTCTGAGCTATCAGCACAGAGCCCAATGCGGGGCTCAAATTCACGAACCATGAGATCATGACCTGAGCCGAAGTCGGGTGTTTAACCAACTGAGCCACCCAGGTGCCCCTATGACTTCTCTTGAAAGAGGTACTGAAATTTCAAAAGACCAACTAACCGGAAACCTCTTCTTACCCTATGTAGGTTGAACAATGACAGCAGATGTAGCGATTGGGACACCTTCCTTTTCTGGAAGATGGGGTGAACATCTGAGACCTAAACATAACCACAGCCCAAGCTAAAGAAACTCCAAATTCTATTAGTTATGAACAAATGAATAAATGAGTCAATAAGGTACACTTCATTGGCTTATTCATTCAGTTATTTACTAATTCAAAAAATAATTTTGATTATCTAGTGGGTCCCAGATCTTGAAGTGGATGCCAGGCAGTTTCAAAACATTTGACGATTTCTCATTGAAACAATCAGCAGGAATTTACCAACACCTAAGACAAGCCTCAAGCGGTAACATGATCCCTTGAAATCTGGGAGGTTGAGGTAAGCAGGCAAATGGGGTGAATACTCTTCTGTTGCAGATCCTCTTAGAAAATTCCAATCATTGGGTGCTCTGCTGAATATAACACTTTTGTACAGTACCCACTGAGAATCACTCTTTTTTCTAAGGAGTCTCTCATGGGTACATTTTTCTGAGTAAACAAGAAGGGGCTGGAGAGGATAATGCAGAAGAGAAGAGCCTCACTACTTCTGTTTATTGGAACTTCATCTATTTCATTACACCATGCATTTACCTGTATCTCAGATATATCTCCAGAAGTTCACTAGCTAGAAAGTCCACCTTTACCTGTTCTGTAGCCAGTGTTGTTAAGATATACAGCAAAGGTCCGAGGTTCATGCATTGCCTGCCAGGAAGGTGAAGAGCAGTTCTCATTGTTGGTGTAGACATTGTGGTTGTGCACATACTTGCCGGTGAGCATGGAGGACCGGGAGGGGCAGCACATGGGGGTGGTCACAAAAGCGTTGGTGAAGGTGGCGCCCCCATGTTCCATAATCCTTCTCGTTTTGTTCATGACTTGCAGGGACCCTGGAAGGCACAATTTCAGCACTGGTTAGCAGACTGCACCACACGAACACCCATTTACGTCATGTCACTTAGTGACCCTGTTTTCCCTGATTTATTAATTTCCCTCCATTGACTTGAAGGAGTCTATAATTTGACAGCTCCCGTTTCTGGAACAAAATTAAACATTTGGGATCCTATCATCTCAAGCATTTTGCAGAATAATAAACATGATTCAGCTTCTCCTCTCCTTACTCACAAAGAAAAAAATGCAGGCTAATCTTATCATTAAAGCTAGAATTTTAGATATGGAGCAAATTCAAAGGCCAGCAGCCGTTTGAAGATTACCAGAGAACAATAGCCTGTTACACAGAAGATCAAAACCCCAGCCCACCACATATGCACCATGCTTGTGACGCTGCAGAGCTTACTAGATAGATAGAGTGTTTCAATCATCTGAAATTAAAGAGGAAAATCATTTTTTTCCTATTAGGTAAAAGTCCCTCCAAAATGCCTGTGTTTAATTAAAAACAAGATCTTCATTGTAACTTGGTGTTCTCTAGTGAAGTCGCCAAATACCTGCCGGTTTTTCTATCAGGATAGCACTGCCAGTTTACATCTTAACCTGTTTATGTGCAATATTAAAAGATAGATTGTTTCCTTATGAAAGAGCTGTGATTCTATTGCATTCAAAAGGATTTGCATGGAGTAAAATATTCCACTCTGACCGTAAAGGATGAAATTGTAACATAAGATTGCTGAGGAAGAAAAAAACTACTTCGATTACTCTACCCAGCCAAACACTGCTGCTGAAACACATCCAAATGCTGCAGAAAAAAAGCACAGGCTAGAATTCAATAGTCTTTTCAGGACTTGTCAAGAAATGCACTACAGAGCACTACAGCCAAGCCCACTGCATTTGAATCCTGGAGCCTCACATTTCCAACAGGTCCCACTTCTTCCAAAGAAAGGAAGAAAGTCTATGTAGTTTTCCAGCAAGGAAGGAAATCGTAATGCAAACCAGGCAAGCATTCAGAGCAGAAGAGAAGTGTGCAATGGTCCAAAAAGCCACAGTTAGCCTGATTTTTTCACATATTAGCTCTTTCTGTTCACATGAAACATACGAAAACAGGAGGAAGGTTTCTAATTGGGTCTCATTAGAGCTCCCTAAAATGGGCTTCAGTTAGGAGGATTCCTGACTGCTTTTTCTCCCCTGGTTGTCTTCAGGGGATCAAGCAACCTCTTTGTAATTGGTGAATAACATGTAGTGAGTGCCCACTTCACGCTGAACATTTTATCACCCTCGGTACTCTGGGCTGGTCATAAGTGTAGCGTTAACAAAAGAAATGGAAAATCCTCTGCTCCCTTGGTCTTCAGCAGTAAACTATCTAGATGAGAACCTATGTATAGAAATCACATTGAGGATATTTGCAAAGCAACATAAGAGTGTGGGTATAGCAATAGCAGTATAAATAAGGTTAGAAGGGACTGAGGGGGGTGTCTAATAAGAGTTCTGAAACAAGAAATGAGGACAAATGGAAGGAGAGCGGGAAGAAAAACGCAAAACAGGTGATGTGTTAGTGGGGAGGACAGTATGTGTGGGCCCTGGAGTTGGGGGAAGCAGCA